TAAACTAACCAGAGCCTATAAAATGGACTCTAAAATTTGAATATGTATATTTAGAACATTTTCTTTTATGTATGTATTACTACATGTTATGTGCGTGCGGTAAAAAGTAGTCTTTGTTACTCGCTTATAATGTAGCTTTCATTTAGTGAAAGAATTTTTAAAATCGATTTAGTGGTTTAAGCGTAAAAGCGTAACAAAACGACAAACTTACTGTCACATTAATACTATTACTAGCTGACCCGGCAAACGTTGTTTTGCCATATACATTATTGCTAGGTAATATTGAAAAAAAAAATTCGGGTGGGTCACCCTTGTCATTTAGGGGTATAAAAAATAGATGTTAGCCGATTCTCAGACCTACCCGACGTGCACACAAAATTTCATAAAGATCGGTCCAGCCGTTTCGGAGGAGTATGGTAACTAACATTGTCACACGAGAATTTTATACATAAGATAAGTATATAAATATAGATGTAAGCATACAATCAATCTCTCGACCTCTGGGACTTAACCATATGACTAGACAATTAAATGAAACACTAAAATATTACTAAACAAGTCTTGAAAAGTTTTTATTAGTTATAAAGTAAAAAAAACATAAGATAGAACAGTTTGAAAAAAACACCGTTAGAGCACCTTGCTCTTTTAATTATTCGCTTTAGTTGGCTTCTCGATATCTTGGAAATTTACATTTTCAAGTTTTTTTTTAATTTAGCTTTTACTTAGCTCTTCTCATTAAATTACTTTTCAGTACAAAGTGATCAAAGTTGTATAATTACCGTATAATGATACCTAATGAAATCACAGCACCTAAGTATAAATTGTTAAAAAAATTCTTCCTTAACCGCCATTTTGTGATACTCAACTGACCGACTTCAGGTCACATAAAATGGCGGTTTGACGTATTACGTGGTTGATATAATACAGTTGATAAACACGGGCGATAATGTTGATAATTGTTTTTACCTGTGTTTGTTTTGAAACACATGTAATCCAAGCTACGTGTTTCATTTATCATGAATAATATAAAAACATAATGATATCAGCTTAACTTATGAGAAATATAAAATTCTCTCTCAAAAGAATTGTTACCAGCCCTATGACAATACCCATCTACTTAAACAGATTAAAAAATTCAAAACATTTAATTAACACAAAAGTTTTGCATATCATAATCTTTTTTCCTACCAGTATTCAGACCTGAAGGGCCTCCTGAATAAATACCGCAATAAACCCAACATTAACCCTTTGTAAAAACAGGTCTTCAAACATAATTGATAATATTAACGTAAGTAAACGTTGATGTCAGTGATCGCGGACTGTGATAAAACTCATTGTGCTGTTTCTTTAAATATTTCTAGATTGTATAAAAGGTGTGTAATAAAGAGTACCCATCTGTTTTTATATAGGTATATAGATTTAATGTGTGATTCGAATTTGTAAATAGGCAAAGTCAAAATTATTCAACACGTTTCATCATGTTACATCTAAGTCACACACACACATAAGTGACTAAGAATTTTGGGTGTGTGTCATGTAAAATATACAAGCAATACGACATTTTTATCCTTATATTATTATTTAACCGAGTTCAAAAAAAGGAGGAGGTTCTCAATTCGACTGTATTTTTTTTTTTAATGTTTGATACCTCTGAACTTTTGACTAGGTAAACCGATTTTGATGATTCTTTTTTTTTTCACACATCTCACACACTGCCGTCTGATCCCAAACTAGGTTATAGTTACATATACTATATATTATATAGACAAGTAATTCTGTCTAATCCTGGACTTACTAGGTTGACAATGTTTTTCTAAATCGTCCATTAAGTGCAGAAATATTATCATCATCGCAGTCCACTGCTGGACATAGGCCTCTCCCATTGCACGCCACTTAGATCGATTTTGGGTTTCTCGCATCCAGCTCCTGGCCTGTGGGCGTCCTACACTACGTTTGCCGAGACGTGGTCTCCACTCAAGAATTCGTTTGCTCCTAAGGTTGTCGGTTCTGCGTCTAATATGGCCAGCCCACTGCCACTTCAGCTTGCTGATCCGGTAGGCTATGTCGGTGACCTTGGTTCTCTGCCGGATTACCTCATTCCTCATTCTTTTTACCCTTAGTAAAAATATTAAATATCTTTTCTAAAAATAAAAATATATCTATATGAGATTTCCACGTGTATAGTCACTCATCACGATATCTCTGGAACCATTAGAGCTAAAGACTTGAAATTTGGTAGGAATATTCTTTTCACCGAGTAGAGGTCAGCTAAGAACGGATTTTAAGAAATTAAAAAAAAATATGTAAATAGCAAAACAACGTTTGCAGGGTCAGCTAGTTTTCTATAAACAGGGTTGTTAAAAACGTACGTGTGTCATTATTCAAATAAATTATAAATCTCTCTTATATTTTGCCACTAACTCCCGGTCTATAAGCAAAAAAACTTGAAAAGCAAGTTGCGATCCAAAGAAATGTTCCTCTCCACGCTACCAAAAGGGTGGGAAATTATTGGCTTATTACATTTCTTCGAGAATTCTTCGCAAACCTAATGTTAGAGGGATTTAACGGATCATTTGTTACGGAAATATTGTTGTACGAAATACTGTGAACAGATGTGCGTATAAAATATTAGGATTGATTTTTATTTACGCTAGTTTTAGTTCATATTACAACTTTTACGATTCCGTATCGTATCACACTAATATTATATAGGCGAAAGTTTGTGGGTGTGTGTTTGTTAGTTCTTCACGCTCAAACGGCTGGACCAATTTTATTAAAATTTGTTTGTCATATCATCAACAGCCAATAGGCCACTGCTGGACATAGGTCATTTTACTTTTATCCCGAACAAAATGTAGTGTTCACGTGGGATGAAAAAGGAATTGAAATAAATATATTTCAATAAAAACTATCAACGGCGGATAACACCACAGGGCGCAGCTAGTACTTAATAATTACAAAATGAACTCTAAATAATACATCGTATATAGTAATAATACCTCACACATACCACACACGGTGTCTTTGGTATAATGAACGTAATATAATGCTGAATAGCTTGCAGGTGACATCTGGGGCGGTATACTATGGGGATCTTGTGTCAACTAGGGTTAATTTCCGTGCGTTTAGGCGATTCTGCCATACATATTATAGAAATCAAATATATCTCACGTAGGACCCGTAATATTTTGTGGCCTTTGTGTATGCCTATTTTGCTTCATTTTGTCTCCCGCTTTGCTAAGGAGGGTATTTCCAACTCCTCCAATTTTCTTCTGATTAATTTCGTTGCGGGTTCCAAGACAGTTTAATTTCTTCCTGGGACTTCCCGAGTGTCATAACTCGGTGTGTTCGTGGGTCACTGCTGTGGATCCTGGTGTACAGGAGTTACAGTGGTGTGCGTGTGGGTGGGATTAGTCCCATACCACACACGGCAGTCTGATCCCAAACTAGGCAGAGCCTGTGCTATGATAACCAGACTGCTAATAAACGTACATATATATTTCTAAATACATACGTATACATATTAAAGATAAAGTACACCCCGACACAGAACAAACGACCATGCTCATCACACAATATTTGTCCTGTTTGGGAATCGAACCCACGACCTCCGGCTTAGCAGTCAGGGTCACTAATTACTAGACCAACAGGCCCGTCGTATAGAAGTGGTCATGGACAGATAGTTGATGTCCCAATCTTCAAGACTAAAGTAATCTCAAAGGTTGTCAACACACTTGTGACTCCTGAGGCGTTCATAGGCGCCGGTGATCACTTTCCAACAGGTAACCCGCCTGATTGTTGGCCCCCTATATCATAAAAAAGTCTCATACCACAGGATTGATTGTCAAGTTTGAGTACTCTTCACTCCACAGTCAAATATGATTTTTCTTTTTTTAAAAGACAACTCCCGCATTAGAGATATATACTGTGTCGCTGGGACTTTACAAACAAACATGAAACGGACACAAAGGACACCCAGAAGAACGACAATTTGTGGATCACACAAAGTGTCGTCCCACGTAGGGCTCGAACACTTAACGTAGTTGGAAGCGGCGTGGCGACCGCTTAAACCACTACGCCATCCGTGCAGTCTGTGAATTTAAAGACTTCGAATTGATATTACAATCGGCATTTACCACAACTATGATTAATTAATAATAATTATCTCTCACATCTCACACACAGCTGTCTGATCCCAAACTAGGCAGAGCCTGTGCTATGGTAACCAGACTGCTGATAAATATACTTATATATTTCTAAATACATACATATGATAGATAAATTACACCCAGACACAGAACAAACGATCGTGCTCATCACACAAATATTTGTTCTGGGTGGGAATCGAACCCACGACCTCCGGTTTAGCAGTCAGGAGCACTAACCACTAGACCAACAGGCCCGTCATAACTAAACCCAGGGGTCCGTGGAGGTCTGATGGCAGTTTCAAGACTTTAAGCCGACCTCAACCTAGTTTGGGAAAAAAAGAGGGATACAGAGCTACACCAAAATTGTGTGTAAACTTACAAATAAGTTGGAAAGTAATACATTTTAAAGAAGTTTACAAACATCAAAGGTCGCATTACTTAATCTCTTTAAGGCAACTTACATTACCAAGTTACACAAACATTCTCATTAGATTACGTTAAGTACTGTTAAATAAACAGAGTGTATTTCAAGAGATACGTATAAACAATTAACGAATTTAGTAATCAATGCTTTGGGATTTATTACACATCACTATCTAGACCCAAACGGTGGTTCTCTACTGTTTCAAAGAGGTCTAGAATCTGAGAAGGAGCTTAGTAACTTCCTTTTTAGATTATACACGTGTATAATAGTGTCACCGACCACGGAACAACGCGAGAAATACCTGAGTTGACTGACATAATCTGTTTTTGGCGGTTGAAAACTAGTTGGGATATAAGTTACCTCTTAAGGTATTGTCCCTGTTATTGTTGGATGTACAATGTGTTTATTTTGAACTTGTATTGTTACAGATGAGAGAGATATCGTGGTGTATAGCGCTTTTGGCGCTCCTCGTCACCACTTTAGCTGACTCTACAGAAGGTATGTAATTTATTTAGCTAGTACCTGGTAGTTTCGACTGCGGCACTACCTTCTAAATAGCCTATTACATGCCACAAGTATTGGGATATTTAATGCAAAATTTTTGAACTTTATTAGTAGTTATAGAAACAAATGGTTTTCTATAAAAAAAAAACAAACTCCTTAGTTTTGTTATATTGGCATCGGCTAGAAATCACCCAGCGGTAGAATTTCGACCGGTTTTTTTTCAATCATTGACCAGTTAAACTTAGATTGTCATTATTATAAGTATATAATTTCATGCTATGAAAATGTATACAGGACTCATATAACTTTATGTAGTAGTTTTTATATAATTACGAATTATATAGCAACGTACTGTGTAAATATTAAGTGTAATACAAACATTAAGTGAGTAGGTATTTCATTTTCAAATCTGTGCGCGTTTGCTTTTAAAAATACGTATAAAGAATTCTTTTTACGTATTAATAAATGTATAAATATTAAAAAAGCCTTCTTTCTTTGAGTGTCTAATGACATTCTACTTATGAGTATGGTAAATAAATCACATCAACAGTCTTTAATAGCCACTGCTGGACATAATCCTCTCCTTAAAAAGGAGGTTTTGGCCTACTATACCACGCTGGCCAGACGAGTTGGTATAGGGTTTGTGTTAAGTTTTCCTTCTCTCTGCAGTGCTGTTGTCCCGCGTAGTTGATAGAGAGAGGGCGGTAGTGTCCCGCTGTATACATCGGGCCATACTTTAAAGTGAAATAAAAAATATAAATACCTGAATAACGTAGTGTGATATGTGTTTAAAATGTTATTTGGAAACTGAGTTACGAGGATATTATAAAGGTTTTAGTAAAAATACAGTGATATGAAAACATTTCAAATATAAAAATATAACGAACATTTCGAAGTGAATGAAGGTAACTGCAACTTGTGAATACAATCAGCTCAATTTTGTGCAATAGAACCCTATATTACGAGGATTTTAAAAAGGTTTTAGTAAAAATACAGTGATATGAAAACATTTCAAATATAAAAATATAACGGACATTTCGAAGTGAATGAAGGTAACTGCAACTTGTGAATACAATCAGCTCAATTTTGTGCAATAGAACCCTATAAAACAATAATATCTAACAAAAAATAGTGAGAAAAAGTGCAAAAAAATGAAAAAAGAAAAACAATAACAAAATAAAACTACTAACTATTAAAAAGTCAAATAATTCCACAGTTTACTGTGAAAAGAAAACAAAACTGACGCCATCTTACGTTAATATTATAAACTACTTCCCGAGACCCTAGCATTGATTGAAAGATCCTAAACTAACTGAACTGATTATATGTGATACTGATAGAGGGCGCTGTACATACGAAATATAATATATGTATAATTGTGCGATTTAGATCATAACAAATTATTCAAGATGGTGTATGTTTGCGAAGGATGTCAACAAAAAATACTTAATAAGGAATACCTGACCTGTGCTCTTTGCGCGAATGTATATGACCTAGAATGCGCAAACATTGTCAAACAATTTTTTATTAATAAAATGACGCCAGAACGTAAACAAAAATGGACATGCCAAGCCTGTCGTTGCAGAATGCCCAAATCGGATAATTCAGATACTCCCGTACGGTCACAGTACCCCGAGGCTGCCCGAAAAATGTATACTTCTTCAGAAAGAAACAACATTACATCTAGAAAGAAAACCACTAAAAACGACAGCTCATATTCTGAACCTAACCTCCTTACTAAGGAGATGCTTATGTCCGGTGGTGGACTATTAAAGGCTGTTGACGACGATGAATCTGAAGCTATTAACTTACTGGGTGACACGATATGTACAGAAGACCAAGAATCGACCATGCATACTGATATACAAGCTGAATTAACTTTGAAAAATTTAAATGAAACAATAACACAAAGTCTTAAAGAAAATAACAAATTAATTATAACAGAGCTACGCAACACCATTCAGATAGAGATAAATAAAACTATTACCCAGCTAAGAGCAGAAATGGAACTAAAGACGAATGCCTTGTCAAAACAAAATGATCAAAGAAAAGAAGACATAAAAGAATTAAACGAAGAAATAAAAAAATTAAAAATAGAAAATAAAAAATTAAAACGAGATATAGAAGATCTTTCAGCGAAAATACAACCCTCTGAAACAAATACCCCAGAACTCAACACCAAGAAAATAGTTATCTACGGCCTCGCTGAAATCTACAAAGAGCCCGAATATGACCTACACACCAGACTTATAGAATTATTCTACGAAACTATGAATGTAGACCTTACGGGTTACATAGAAGAAGTATATAGAATAGGAAGAAAATCAAGCAACAATCGTCCTCTGGTGATTGAATTGCTTAGCAAGCGTATGGTTAAATACATCTTAAGTAACGGCCGCTATCTTCAAGGAACAAGAGTTGCTGTATCAGATTTTTTAGATGAAAATGCGCGGAAAAAAAGGCAAATATTGCGGGAAGAAATAATAAAAGCCCGAAGAAAGGGCTTACATGCAGTAATACGAAATAATCAACTTTTTATAGAGGGTAAACTAATTAATTTAAAGGAAGAAATAGACAAAAAGCAATACGACATCGAAACTGAGAATGAGAGAATTAAGAGTAAGCCCTACAACCCTAACCAGACCTACCACCAACCAGAAACAACTGAAAATAACTTAAATTATCCCTTTCGAAAATACAGATCAACAGTTTAAAATCTTATTCCAAAATATACAAAGTCTATACAATAAACAATGTATTCTAGAAGAGTTCGTAACACAAGATATAACATATGGCGCGATATGTATATCGGAGTCTTGGCTGTCATTAGAAAAATTACATGCTTTACAAATCTCCGGGTATAAAATAGCTTCTTCATACTGCCGAGTCAACCGAACGGGAGGCGGCGTGTGCATCCTGCTGCGGGAAGACATCGAACACAATGAAGTACGTGAAATTAGCTGTATGTCAATTGAATATGTAATAGAAATGTGTGCATGTGAACTACCTAAAGAGAATATATTATTAGTAACTGCATACTGGAACAGAAGAGAGGAAGAGGTATTTAAAACTCAAGTAAGACAAATTTTAAGTTTCATTATCAATAAGTATTCGAAAACTAAAGTAATTCTGGGAGGGGATTTCAATATTGATGTTTTGAAAAATGATATAAAAACTAACCATTTTCTGGATCTAATGTTAGAATATAGATTTACACAACACGTAAAAGATCCTACACGTATCTCACCGACTACTTCAACGTGCTTGGACTTGATTTTCACAAATTTCAATGACAATAACTTGCATACAACCGTCGAGGAATTAGGATTCTCAGATCATTGCGGGGTTACTATCCACCTAGAACTACCACAACAAACTAAACAGATAACATGGTATATAAAGAAACGAATTTTCAGTCAAAGTAATATGAACAAATTTAAGTCTGAACTAGTCGGACTAAAATGGAACGACATTCTTTCACAAGACAATAATATAAACATAAACTATGACACATTTATCAACATGTTGAGGTCCACCCTAAATCGATATATGCCAATACGAAAAATAAATTTAAAACCACAATACAAAAATCGTTGGCTAACGGTGGGTATAAAGCAGTCCTGTAGAAATAAAAGGTTACTAAAGATCCTTGCTTCAAAATCAAACAACCAGGTTATAACTAATTACTATAAAAAATACGAAAAAATATTAAAAAGAACTGTAACAACAGCAAAAAAATTATACTACAAAAATAGAATATCGAAAGCCGACAATAAAGTGAAAACCATGTGGGGTATAATTAACGAGCGAACGAACAAAAAGCCTAAAAAAGTCATACAAAACATAAATTTACACATAAATAATATCTTAACAACTGAGCCTAGCGAAATTGCCAACTATTTTAATAACTTCTTTGCATCAATTGGAGAGACTTTACACCAGCCTTCCGGTAGCAATACAAATAGTGTACAAGCCCACAACACAATAGAAAATACAATATATCTCAACCCAGTGGATCCTCATGAAGTTAACACAATTCTGAAAACACTTAAAAATAAAAAAAGCTGTGGTATAGACGAGCTTCCACCTACCGTACTGAGACACTGTGCAGATGAACTAACTTTGCCGTTTTATTTATTGGTTAATCAGTCATTTAAAGAAGGCGTCGTGCCTGACCAATTAAAACATAGCTTGGTAAAACCAATACACAAGAAAAACTCAAAAACCGACCCAGACAATTATCGACCTATCGCCCTGTTACCGACTGCATCCAAGATTTTTGAAAAAGCGATGACAGATAGAATATATAACTTCTGTGAAAAATATAAAATATTAGATGAGTGCCAGAATGGATTTCGCAAAAATAAATCCACGATCTTAGCAGTATATAAATACGTCCAAGAAGCCTTAAACATTTTGAATAATAAGCAATACGCAGTAGGTCTTCTATTAGACATGAGCAAAGCATACGACAAAGTTCAATTTAATATTCTATTAAATAGGCTGTATGCTATTGGAATCCGGGGTAAAGCTTACGAATGGCTAGAGTCATATCTAACAGGTAGGAAACAAACTGTAGAACTAGAATTCTTCAACAAAAACACACACGAGATACAAAAAATCCGTTCAAACAGGAAAGATATAAAAGCCTCTATTCCTCAAGGTAGCGTAATTGGGTGCCTATTATTTATAATTTATGTAAACGAGCTACCCAAAACAATAAACGGACCATGTGTCTTATTTGCGGACGACATCTCTTTGCTCACTTCGTGTACAACTAATGTGGATGTTTGTGAAAATCTTCACCAAACACTCACAAAAACAGTGGACTGGATGAACAAACACAATCTGGAAATAAATTTCTCAAAAACTAAATTGATAACTTTCCATCCACACCAAAAATCACCAATAGACATCAATTTTACATTTAATGGATCAAAGATAGAAGTTGTTAATGAGTTTAACTTACTCGGGGTAACCATAGACACGCATAT